AATAGGTGTTCAGTGAATATGCTCATTAAATAAACAAATAAAATAATGAGTGAAATGTACTTATATATGTGAACCACATGAAGAACTGAGATAATTAAATTCCAAAAAGGGGTTGATTTAGTTTGGTGTTAAAGGTGAAGTGAGCACCTATGTATGTAGGGCAATCTGGCATTTCTCAAAGTGACCAGTACTGTGTGACAAGTGTTTCATTAAGACCACTGTTGAAAAAGCCAACATTTTACTCCCTGCTGTTACCGTTTCCGGGAGGCCACCTAACTCCGAAAATAGGGGAGAAAGTAGCTGAGGCATCAGTTTTTTTCTTTTTCTTTTTTCTGCATCTTCTTAGACCATTTAGTTGTCATTACTACACATTTGGCCACTTAGCCATAAGTAGCGTCTCCAGAATTTAAAGACAAAAATTGATAGACCCCATTTCCCATCCTCATTTTAAAGTAGTGAATACAGAGAAAAACGAGCTACAATATCCCTTTGCGAAGATGTTTCTAAGAATGAGGAATGTTCTCTAGAAAGCCTCCTCTACCAGCTTTCAAATCATAATGGTTTTATTAGCGGGCTGGCTTGAAAGTTACATAGTAATTGACAAACAAACTTAACTCCCTTACAAAGCACTAGTGGGCTGGGAAAAAGGAGAATTCTAATTTTATTTTCAAAAACCATGGAAATGGGCATGCTTACATGACTAGTACCCATAATGTTAAATAAAGGGTAACAGATTAAGCTTTAAGAAGGCTCAACTCAGGTAAGCAGGGTGGGGCTGTCTATGCAACCACCACCCAGCATGTTTAAAATCAAAAGCAGCTCTGGGAGTGCTCTAGGTTGTCTTCTGCCTAGACCAGGGGCACATGCCTGGTTCTGGTTTTCTTAGGTGGCGGTTCCTTTGTCCATCACTGTTACTGACCCCTTGAAAGCTCTAGAACAATTTTGGCAAATTCCCCTGTTTAAGAAGAAGATAATATTATGGCATCTCCACATTATGTTAAAAAAGTGCCAGAGTAAGAAATAAATGAACAAAAATCCTGGAAATCCACCAAGTCTTATGAAAGCATCAGCAACCAGGGTCCAGTTTCTTTGATGAGTTTCGGGTAGTCTTGCATTGCATTTTTCATGCACATCGTTTGCTGCTGAATCTTTCCTAATTCTTTAAAACCAAACTGTTATACCACCAGACCTAAAGCCACCACGAACATTTACTAATGAGTCTATATCCCAAAAAGTAGATTTAAAAATTTAATCTTGACTGACTTTTAAATGTAACGCAAGCCTATTAAGGACTGCTATCAAAAAAAAAAAAAATCTGAAGCATTATGCAGCCTGGGTAGAGGCAGACAAAGTGCTGATTTCATATGCAATTATGAGCTCCCATTCCCTCCTCTTTGGAGAATTAACATATTATGTAAATTATTTTACAAATATGGTGCAGACCTCATTAATAAAACATAGAAGCAGGATCTGTGAAGCCAATTAGCATTTTCATTGTATTTCCCCTTCCAGTCTCAGCTTACAGCTTACTCTACCCGTGAAAACTGTGCTGCTGTCATCAGAAACCTCTATTTAGTAGTTACCGCATGAAAAGCCTCAGTGCCGAAGAGTCGGCTGGGGAGGTCTGACGGAGGATGAGGAGGGCAGCGGGTGGATGGTTGGGTGAGCCTCGGTGTCACCACGGCCTCTCCCGGGGCCCAGTTCTACAGCAAAAGCCACACAGCTTCCACTTGCTCCCCGAGTGGTGATGAGCTTGTTTATAGAAGCTTGCTAAGCACAAGGTTGAATTGAAATATGGCAGTGTTTACCTTTTCCTAATAGGCTGGAATATTATTTGGTTGTGGGGTTCAGAATGGTCGCCAGGGCGTAGCTTGACCTTGACCGATGCATTCTTCGGTGTTTGTTTTTGAAGAGGAGATGGGAGTTTTCTCAGTTCCAGCGGGGAGGTTTCTGGTAGGCCATTTAGAATAAGCATTCGTTTCCACTACTGTGGACATTTAAAATCAAAGATGTTTACTTCAAAGCAACCCACTTCTCTCAGTCAGCACACACGCACATACTGTTTCAAAGAAAAAGAAGTTAGTTTGTTTTACATCAGTAGTGTAGTGATTGTCATGAGCCTTAACAACGTCTCATCAGATAGAGGAGAACCACTGATAAGCCGCGTGGAAACCTTTGGATGAAAATTATCCTAAAAGTTATGTCCCAGGAATGCATCATAACGGTAATGTCTCATTCTAGTGGAAACAATACTGATAATAATTAAAAGAAGTGTGTTATCAACGGGCCAAATGAGAGAAGAATTTAAGTCTCTTAGCTCAGACGGACTCAGAGGAAATTATGTAGAAGAATCAGCAGGGAAGGCCCTGTTGTTGTCCTGCTTAACCAGGTAAGTGAGGGTGGGGGGTGGTGCCCAGGGCTGGGGGCCAGGGTGCAGGCCAGCGAATGGTCTGGTGACCCGCCGGGCAACGGCTGTTAACTCTCCCTCTCTCCAGCTCTGAGTGGGCCTAGCTGGCCCGCAAATGCCCATCCCCTTGTTTGTTTTGGAATTCCCATTCTGTTGTAACCCTTTGTAACCCTGTAGGCAGCTCAGAGGTGAGAATCCACATGCAAAATCCTCAGTCACCCAACAGGAAAGATCCGAGGGAAGAAACTGTCCAGCTCTCAGAGGGCAAATGTGGCAGTCCCACACGCGACAAGATGCGAGCGTGGGGCGTCGGCCTGAGAGTGTGGCGTGGGCACGCCCCTCGGAGACACTCCAGCCCCCATTTAGCTTTCAAATATTTAACTTTAACCTATTTAATATTTAGTAAGGCTGAAGGAATAAAAGATGAATTATTGAACAGACTAATGTTTTTAAAAACCAAAGGGAAAAAAATAAGTCACAGCCATGCTGCTTTGTATCAAAAACTCATTTCACAGGCATTAATTTTTTAATAACATACCGATTGTACAGTGAAGTACAGTGTTTGCTAATAAGCTCCAATATTCAGTGCGAAGGCTTTATTATTTTGGAGGACACTAAATACAATATTAGTTGAACTCTTTCTTATGTGGTTTCCAGAAACTGTTGGAAAAATCCCCAAAGGCTTAGATCCTTAATTTTTCTCCTAATTTGTAACTTGCCTGAACATTTGAACACCTATGCCCTTGGAAACCTTCCCTTGGAAGAAGAGGATGTGCCTTTCGGACTATAACTCAGCAGACAAAGGGATTGCCATTAGCAATTGTGTTTTCTGGGGGTGAACGGAGAGGAAGGGGAGCCAGGGAGGGGAATTAAAGCTGAGTCCAGGGGTGGGGCTTTGTGAGTCCAGACACAGTGCAGGGGCCAGTGCAGATGGCGGCGGGGGAGGGGCTGGCATCTGGGAACGGAAGAGAAAGGACGATGGCTAATCCCCCCTTTTTGTCATAGATGTAATGTACAATATCATCTCGTATTTCTCTTTTATATCTGCATTTGAGAAAAGGCAGGATGCTTCCTTCTGTCATCACAACTCACAGAAACTCCTCAGTGATGCTTCCAGGGAGCAGGTGTTTTCAGCCGTATATGAAAAGGGACAATGCCGGAGAATGCTCCCTCTCATATTGTTTTAAAATGGGCATTGGAGATGGGACACACAAGGAATGTAGGTGAACAAATAGTTTGGAAGACATTGACAGGATTTAGACTAACAAACGTCCTCATTGGGAGACATTTTCAAGGTTATAAAATCAAATTGGAAATGAGAAAGAGAGACGCGTGGGTTGCTAAAAAGGTTAAGTTGTTTTAAGTGGAAAAAGACAAAAGAGTTCTGATGCAAGCACTGTAAAATTTACTTTTTACATAGCGACAGTTTATGGGGATTTCCGCCTGCCCCCCTGCGGGGCTGCATTTGTAAATGCATATTTATAAGTCCCCCTGTAGCAAGGCACTGTGACACATGAGGACTCTGCTCAGGAAGTGAACCCTATGCCCTGGGCTGAGAGAGGCTCCAATTATCACAGGCAAGAGACCTTCCATTCTCTTGGGAGAGACCGAAGCCTGCATCACTCTTAAGGATCTTTTAGAAGCTCTAGGAGCCGTGTGCGCTGTTCCGAAAGACACGAGGGGTGAGGCGGTGAACGCTGCATGGGTGAGAGAGACAAAAAGATAGCTCTAAAGTAAATGGGAAACGAGATTCTATTTCAACAAGCTGTATGCATTCCTTTTGTGTTTATTCTTTTGAGGGATGGAAATTAGCTCCCAAGGTGAAGGGCAGTTGTAGTTATAGACAGAAACGCACACTCCCGTACTTAGCTTTTCATTGGAGAAAATACAAGAAAATGAAAACCCCTTTTTAAAAACATCAATACTTTCTATATTTATAGAGCTTGTAAAAATGGTTTGAAGTCAAAAGGAATAATAGCCAGTGCTTGAAAACTCTACACATGCAAAATAAACTTACAAAGATGTTTAAAACATTAGGTCAAAGGTCCAGAAATGTACACCCAAGTGGACCATCTCAATTTTGTTTTGTATTCATGGAGGTAGGTATTTAAAATGACCCTGAAAAACAATTTATATGGCAACTCCAACAATCTGGTCTGAGCTCACCAACATGTTTGCATGAGATAGATTTCTAGAAAATTCTCTGATGATTTTTTGGTAGGTTGTATATTTTATTTTCCTGAAGCATAACTCATGTCTTGTAAAGGAAGACAAATCTCTCAGCATAGGTGGTACAGTTATGAAACATCTTTCATTGCACAGGGTTGCTCCTGGATAGTTTCAGAATTGCATAAATATTTTCAGTTATCAACATTTTACTTCAAGATTACCAATCAAATAAAAACTTTTCACTTTGGCTCATTTTTTTTTTTTTTTTTTGAGAGGATGAGTGGGAAGGCTGGGGAGGTTTATCTCACTATCTCACAAAGCCCTGGTTACAAAACACATACCCATATACTTCTTTGTATAAAATAGTTTATTTTAAACATTTTTGGGGAAGCCTTAAGGCGCATAACGGGCTGTCTTACAGGATTGCTCAGCTTCGCCTCACACGCACAGGAGCAGGGCCTGATTCCTGCCAGGCGGAGCCGTGGGCCACAGAGGGTCACGCTGGTGTCCTTGCAGAGGGCTCACCAAACGTCTCCCCAGGCCCCTGCTGCTCCATCTAAACCCCAGGAACTCTCAACAGATGGCCCCTCTCAAGATGTCAGGTCATCTGATAGTCTCTCTTTTCCTTCCATTGATTATTGCTTTTTGTACTTGAATCTCCAAATTCTGCCTCTTCCCTTGTTCCTCCCTTTCCAGCTCTGAACGTGTCTCTCTCCAGCTGGTTCCTCTCCGAGCTGTTGTCCACGTCGTCCTGAACCTCTGCTTCCAGGCCTGGTGGGTGCAAAGCAAGTCTCCCAGCCATTACCACCCTCGGCCTTTGACCACATGCAATTGGCTTCTAGCCCTGCCACTTGATCAGAACTACCAGTGAAAGTCACTGATATACTTAAAATCCTCCAGTGCACTTTTTCCTTTTTCTTCTCTTTTACTTGCCACAATTCACCCCTGTCCGTTGCTACGCTGAAACTTTTCACGGGCATGGATCCAATACACACTTTCCAGCCCCAAGTTTCCTGACCTGAGTGCGGGTGAGCGAGTGTCCACTGCTACTGCATGAAGCCCTCCCTCTACTCCGAGCCCACTCCACTCTCTGTCTCCACAACCTCATGTGCCTTTTTTCCTATCTTTTGGAAAATATTCTCAATTTATTTTGCTTATTCTTCTTTTTTTACCTGAGCAATACATATTCATGCCCCCAAGGGTTCCCTCTTAATTCCTCATGCTACAAGTTCTCATCCAGCCATTGCACTTAGAATTACTCAGGAGTGCTGACAGGTGCCTGCTTGGTCTTGGAGGAGTTCTTGTGCATGCTTGTGGTCCCTTTCTCAGTGGGACAGACAGAGAAGAAGATTGTCATTTATACTGTAGCGAGGTAAACATGTGTCCGTAAGGGACATAGAGAGCATCAGGGAATATGTAAGAGGAAGTTAGACCAAATGTTGACAGAAAGGGGAAGGGAAGGGTAATCTCTCATTTCTTACAAAGAGACCCAAAAGCCCCCCCTTCTAGAACCTGCAGGTAGCTCAGCGTGGCAGGAGAACAGTAGAAAGTGCAGAGTGGAGGGGTACAAGGCAGGAGATGGGGTGTGAGCAGGAGCATGACTCATTTTACAGTCTGTTCTAAAGGAGTGAGTGCTTTAGCCTGTATCATTTAAATATTTTCAGCAGAAGAGTAAAATATAGTCAGCGCCCTGCATCCATGGGGTTCTGCATCTATGGATTTAACCAACAAGATTGAAATATTAGGCAAAAAATCCCATCTGCACTGAGCACACACAAACTTTTTTCCCCATTATTATTCCCTAAACAATACAGCATAGCAGCCATTGACATAGCATTTACGTTGTATCAGGTGTCATGAGTAATCTCGAGATGATTTAAAGTGTATAGGAGGACGAGCGTTGGCTGTATGCAAATATAGTGTCATTTTGTATCAGGGACTTGAGTGTTGGTATCGGAAGGAGATTCTGAGGCCAATCCTTCTCGAATACTGAGGGACACAACCAATTTTGCATTTTAGAAGCTGAACTCTGACAGCTGGGTAAAAAAGAGACTGGAGCATCTATACCGAGAAAGCTATTAGAGCCAATTGGGGATGGAAGAGACCATTTGAAGACCGCTGCGGAAGGCGGGAGATGGCGGTCTGAATTAGCGCCACCGCACCTGGGCGGACGGGCCAGAGCCGCAGGTCATTCTCCACTCACTGCCAGACAGGCTTTCTTGATAGCTTTGGTAGGAAGATCCCGGGCGGGGCCCTGGTGTGCCCACGAGGGCTCTGGGGTGGGGAGCTGGGCTGCCCGGACTCAGGGGCACCGTCAGCTGTCCCATCAAAGAAGTAACAAAGGTTGGAAAGTCTAAAACAAAGTGCGTCTGTGACACGGAGGTAATCCCTTTTCAATCAGAAGCACTTCTCCTGGGATTCTGGCTGCATGAGGAAGTACATGTAAATAAAGAAATCTGTAAAAAATAAAAAAAAAAATAAATTACAACCTGCTCAGAGTGAGAAACTGAAAACACCATTTTTTTCACGAACTGTTTTTGGCACATATATAAATAATTAAATGTAGCCACATGTCATGGTTTGAATGCGTCCCCTCCAACATTCAGGTGTCGCCAATGTGATAGTATTGAGAGGTGGGACCTTTAAGAGGTGATTAGGCTTTGAGAGCTGCTCTCTCATGCACGGGTTAGGTCCCCTTATAAAAGTGCTCACAGGTAGGAGCAGGACCCTTTCTGCCCTCTCACCTTCTGCCGTGTGAGGACGCAGCGTGTGAGGCCCAGTATTGGAAGCGAGAGAAGCCCTCACCAGACAACCGAGCCTGCCGCTGCCTGTGAGGACTGTGAGGAAATAAACTTCTGTTATTTATAAATTACCCAGCCTGTTGTATTTTGTTATAGCAGCACAGACAGACCAAGACATCACATTACACAGTTCAATAATTCTGTGCACAGATTTTTCTGCAAATAGAAAAGGCCAGATGCTTTTATTGTTCACAGTAGACCTTTTCTAACTTACAAATGCTTTCCAGAAACGGAGGCTCCCTTGCCCTGAGAGCCCCTGTGTCTCTTGACGTCGATTTCCAAAGTTGCACATGGGGTAGCAGCACAAAGAGGAGGGCAGAGGAAGAGCACGGGTTCCCTATAATAAAAGTTGTCGGAAAGTGCTCGTGTTTATATAACATTGCGGTTGGAGTGGAAGGGGACTGAGGTTTACCTTCATCCACCAATGATATGTGAGCCTCTCATCTATGCCAGGGCCACTTGCAGATGCAGAAATGAGTCAAAACATACCTGCTGCCATGAAATTCACTTCGAGGGAGACAAATCTGCACATCATCAATGGCAATACAATATGGTAAGTGCTTCAAAACGGGCCCAAAAGAAGAAGTCTATGAGAAATGTTTGAAATCCCAATTCAGGCATCTATTTTTGATAAATGTCATTTGCATTGTGGGAGAAAATTCATAGAAGTGTCTCATTGAGTTGGTGCAACGTGAGCAAGGACAGCATGGTGGCCAGCACTGGCTCATCCATCTGCTCCCCGTGTTTCTGACACTGAGCCAGATGCTGGGATTATGGAAATCCGTCAATCCTGATTCCTACCATCAGAGAATTCACAACCGAGAGACAGAGAGACAAAGAGATGTATTAACTAAAACCCAGTGTGGTACGTGTTACAGGAGTCTGAATACGATGTGCCCCGCATGATGACAGAAAGATGCAGAGACACTGTGGTCCATAAAGGGGAGAGCACATGCCTTTGCTCACATTCTGGGAGAAGATCCTTTTGGTGGAATTTGACCTTGAGGAATGAGCAAGTGTTTGTCAGTCACACATGCTACCCCTCCTTGACCAGGGAAATGCAGAGTAAACCCAGGAAACAAGCCAGAGCTCCCTTTGCGAGGACCCCGTGTGTGGGAAGTCTGCAGAAAGGGATACCTCTGATACGTTAGTTGAGTGTGTGCTATTTTTTTTTCTTTTTCTTTTTTTTTAATTATTGTGGCAAAAGGCACATAACATGAGATCTACCCTGTTAGCAAATTTTTGAGTGTACAGTTTGGTATTATTACCTATAAGTACAATCCTGTTCGACAGGTCTCTGGAACTTTCTGACCTTGCATGATGGAAACTCTGGACCTACGGAACAGCAATTCTCCATTTCCTCTCCCCCAGCACCTTTGAGAATGTGCTATTTTCTGATATTCATAGCTTTAGGAAAGATCTTCATATTAACAATATTTTAAAGTGCAGGATTCCAGCAACTTGGGGTGGGGTTGGGGTGTCAGACTTCTTCCTTGCTGCTCCCTCCCTCACAGGATCCGGCGGGGGCTGCTGTCCCCACAGGGTCTCTGGCTGAACGTGAAGCATGGCGCTACTTTACCCATAGCTGGGCAAGCCACGATTCTCACTGATCCCTGGTCAATGCTGCATTCAACAATTGGGGTTAATGATTAAGCAAAGTTAAGAGAATTAAGCATGGCTTTCTGCTTCCTATTTTTTCCCCACCATGCGCAGAGGTTATCTAGGGCAACCGGTGATAAGAGGCCAAACTCCGTCCACTCCCCGCAGACCTCCTCATCTGCGAAACGCCACGTCATCAGGCCACCCACCAAAACAACTTACGGCAGGCAGGAAGTAGAGGAGCGGTGAGCAGACGGCTGTGTTTCTCTTTTAGGGGCAGCGTCCTACCCACTACCAGTGCCTGGCCCGAGAGCGTAACCCCTGCACTGGCACGTCAGCCGGCGTGGCAGGGGTGGGGCGGCTCGGCACAGGTGTGTGTACCTGCCCTGCATGGACAGATAGCGAGAGACAGGGAGGGAACTTGGAGCTGACGCCCCCTCCTCCCTTGGGCAGACCTCGGGGAAGAACACGAATGGGTCCCTGCCTCAAATCTTGTTACGGACAAGGATGAAGGGGATGAAGAAGATAAAAGTAAGAACTAGACTTTTCTAAACACTATTCAGCCCTCCAGGAGCTTAGAATCTCGACAGGAGTCGCACTTATTCAACAGAAGTGGTAACTGGTGCAAATGAGCCTTACACAAGAGGAAGGTCACACGGGGTTCAAGACAGCGCAGACATTGACGTGGGAGGGGGTCAGGGAAGCGAGGTGGCGCCCTGAAGGGGCAGCAGAGCGTGGGGGCCGCTAAGAAGGCAGAGGGAAGCCGCTCAATGACGCTGTTGTCACAGACCTCATCTCTCCTACTCGACTGTAAACCCCGTGAAGCTAGAAACCAAATGAGCGCGCTGTGGCCTCTCCTATCGCAGCACGTGGGGTGATTTGTTCACTAAGTATTTGCCAACTAGAATGTCCTAAGTGACATGGATAGAAAAAGTATTTTTTCAGGTTTCACTGCAACGTGAAAGGCCCTTGAACTGCAGGAAGAATAGAATGTTAATTCTGTTCCATCCAACTAGGTATGCTGCAAAATTAGAGGCAAATACTTCACCCCGTGGAGTCCATATGTATATGTGAGTAATGACGCATAGCTGAACATGTTACATTTCCTTCCTTTTGAAGTGTTTCAGATGTGTTATTTCTAGTTCCCTTCGGGTTTTTCAGGATATTACGGTGATGCTGGTGAATGTTCCACGTAGCTCTTGGCTGTCATTTCACAGAAAGAAAAACAAATAGAAAGATCTCAGGGTAATTGTCTATATGTTCTGGACGGGGATCTATAGCTGCTCCGTAAGCCCACATTCCTTGTCTAGCAGACATCAAACCCAGCAGGGAATGTTTTATTTCATTGCTTGTAATGTGAGCGATGGGGGCTTCCTCTCTGTGGACCTCATAATGGCCCTATTATCATTCCTTCTGCTACCTTTATTTATTGCTTTTAACACTGGGGAATGATAACTGGATAGCTCCTTCTACAAAAGGTGCCGAAAAAAATGGAAAAGCTCAAATTCTCATAATAACTCTCATTATTGTGTTTTCTCAAGGCATTTCTTGATGAATACATCCTTTTGTACATTAATCATTAAAATAATTAGGCATAAAATGGTTTTGATGCAAAATTCTCTAAGTGTTTGATCACTCAGTTGAGTCTCTTTTATTCTATCTTGAGTAAAAAGTGCTTAGGGGGTTTTGCTTTGCTTTCTTTTAAGCCACAATTGCCATATGAGAAATGCCTTATGATAGGAATATTTTTTTAGTGTTATCATTTGGGAAAGGGAAGTTTTTTTGGGAGGGGAGGGATAAACAGTAGGGTTGTACAAAAAAATTGAAGTTTGTATGTGCTAGGAATTCAGTTGACATTTGGAGCCTTTGTGCTCTGCATGCTTCGTGGAGAATGTTATTCAGTTGATAAATATGAATTGAACGGCGATCAGAATATAGCAGTGACCAAAGCAAAGTCACGTCCTTACGGCGCATCAGCACCTGCTCTTGGGCGTCGGTACTGATGGGAACTAATTTAAACCACTTTGCCTGTTCCCAGCTGGCCGGCTCTGCAGCTCAGAGTGTCTGGAAGCAGGAAGGACTACAGATTTTCTCCCTAGGGCAACAGCATCATGAAAACAGCGCCCATTTCCAAACTTTTGTTTTCAAGTAGACACAGAAGCAGTGCTGCAACACAGGGATGCACGCCTTCCCGGTTCGCAGAGTGCTTGCCGCTGATAACCTGACACCATCCTAACAGACATGTAAGGTGAGCGCATGGGTGAGGCGAGGAATAGAGGATGGGCTTGATTATCTGGCGTATGACTTCTGACATTGAAGTGGAGATGTTCGCAAGCACTGGATGCTGGGGGCGGCATCTGGACCGCTGGCACCTTCCTGCTTGCCTCCCTAGATGAACAGTTGCTCCTCCCGGGGGAGTCCTTCCCCTGAGTCTCTGATCCCGTTCCCTCTGCTGTACTCAAGAACATCTCTCCTGTAGTCTGCCACCTTCTCCGTCATCAGGCTCCCCCCTTTTCCGCAATGACACCATCACCATGGCAGCATGCTGTGATTTCTCCCATTCAAAGCAAACACATAAACCTGCACGCCCTCGACTCGGTTTCCCTTTCAGTGACTGCCGTATTTATTTGTTTCTCTTTGCAGCAAAACTCTTCCAAAGAGTTGCCGCCACTCTCTGTGTTCAAATTCTTTCCCCTCCCTTTGTCAAACACACACAAATCACACTTTCATGTCCACGTCTCCAGGACTCGGCTCTCCTAGAGGACCCTGCGCCCTCCCTGCACTAAGCCTCCCGACACATGCCCCATCAGCAGTGCAGACGTGTGTGGTCCTCGCCTCCTCCTTGTCCTGCTTTCTTCTCCTGGACTCCAGCACACCACACCTCATCTCTGCCTGCAGCACTGGTTGTCCATGATCAGTCTCCTTGGGTGGCCTCATCCCTTCTCCTAAAGGGTAAATTCTGTCCCTTTCAATTGTTTAAGGACACACGTCTTGATCCTCTTCTCTTCTGGAGCACTACTCATTCTCCGTGTGACTTTTGTCTAATCCCAAGACGTTACACACCAGCAACATGCTCAAGGCCCCCCCGACCCCCAGGCATCCCCTGGCCCAGACCTCTCTCCCCAGCGCCAACCTTGTCAAATCAGCTACCTTCTCGGCATTTCCTGGTGACTTCTGATAGACACCAACTGCAAGCTCAACACATCCAAACAGCTGTTTGCTCTGTCCCCAAGTAGCTGCTCCATCTGTGGCCTTCCCCTCCCTAAGTGATGGCAGCAACAATTTTCCTGTCGTCTAGGCCACCAAACAATCTATTGGAAAATCCTTTTGATTCTGCCCCCAAAATACTCTATATCCAAAGTCTAACACTTTTCACTTCCCCGCTGTGGCCCTCACAACTGGGATTACTATAAAAGTGATCAGTGCTGGGATCACTGTAAAAAGAGATTGGACCATAATCCTGGAAGGCACAATCCCAAAGGCCATAATCCTGAAGGTTGAAATTCTGAAAACATCAATATACCAAAAACATAATTCTGGAAAAAATGATTTAAAGTATTCTTTAAAAGATGTCCCTTTACATTTTTGAAAGGGGACTTGTTTGAGAAACATAGAAAACCAAAACAGAACATTTCATAAGTCATTTTATACAATAAAATAGGAAATAATAGCAACCATATTTTTGCAAGTGTAAACATTCAGGTATACTAATGACATGGCAGTGTCACCGTTATAAGTAGAGGAATCATATTCATAGAAAAGGTCAAAAATGCGATGTATAAAAGCATATCACTACGGTTCATAATTACGGGCTCCCAGCCTTCTAATCGTAATCATCTGAAACACCATGACCAACAGCCTAAGTCGTTTGACAAGATTGATCCACACCAGCGATGAGTCACCAGGCACGGGCAATCGCCCAGAGAGCTGAGATCTCAAGAGATTTTCTTTCACAAATGCAGAAGCACAAAAAGAATGTCTGTTCATTTACTGTTAAGTTTCACTGTTTTTATGCACACACACAAATGCTCACACACACAAATGCTCACACACAAAGTCAATGTTCTGACAATGTGCTTTTGTGGAGTCAAAGTTTCGATGTCCAGAGCAGCAGAAGAAAAGTCTGCGCTGGCTCTCGGAGTGAGCCCAGTTCTCCTTCCACACCCGTTCTCTTCTCGGCCCTGGCTCTTGGGTTGATGCGAGAACGCTGAGGGCAAGTCATCCGCACTGAGTCCGCCAGACTCACGTACTGATCCGCTCTGGAGACACTCCCACGGACACACTCTCATAATGCTTTTCGCGGTTTCTAGGTGTCCCCTGAGCCAGTGAAGTTGACGCCCAAGGTGAAGTCCACAAACCCACCGCTCGTCCACTAAGCAACACACACCTCTCCTCAGACCAGTCCAATTCCCGCCTAGCGTGGCGCAGCTGTCCTGTGTGCGGAGTCAGCTTTCGGGAGATCGATATTTGGGATTTTAATCTTTTGGGACTGTGATTTTCAGGATTTTAGACATTGGGGATTTTAGACTTCAGGGATTTTGATCTTTTGAGATTTCAACATTCGAGATTGTGCCTTTCGGGGTTGTGACTGGCACCACTGTAGCAGCCTCCTCCTGGCTCTGCCTTCTTTCACACTTGCTCGCGTATATTCTGTTCTCAACACAGTAGCTTGAGTGACTCCTTTAACCGTAGCACAGAGTAAACCCCTTAATTGCTGAAAACCCTGCAGCTGCTCACCATTTCCACCAGAATAAAAGCCAGAGTGCTCAGTAAAGGCCACAAGACCTACCTAGTCTGACCTCATGGACGACGATACTCTCACTCTTACTCTGTTCCAACTTAGCCTGGCTTCATCTTTAGGGAGACCTGGCACGTGCCTGCCCCAGGCCCTGCGCACTGACTGGCCCCTCTGCCCAGAACACTCTTCCCCCAGATATCCTTTAAGGCTTTGCCCAAGTCTCTCCTTCTCAGTGTCTCCAGATGACCCTGTTTAAAACTGTGACCTGCCAACATTCCTCCTGGTCCCCTTCACTCTGCTACAGCTTTTTATTTTTCTGTATCACCTAACACTTTCCAACAAGGTGTGTAATTGAGCTATCTGTTATGTTCACTATTTGTTATCTGCCTTCTTCTGAACGTCAGTAAACCGTCCTAGAGCAGGGAATTGCATCTGTTTTTGTCCAAAAGCATTTACTGCAAGAACCTAAGATAGTGCCTGACCCATAGAAGATAAAATAAGCCAGTCATTAGCATTAGAGTGACCACTGATGAAGAGACAAATGCTTAAATATTGAAACAAGGGAATTAATTCTTACTACCTGCATCAGCATTAGATAGACAAGACAGTAATAGTGATAAAAAGTTGAGAAAGACTATTCTCTGATGGTGGTGGAGTAGAAATGCTGTGACAGGGATTTCGGGGCCTCAGCAATTTCGAGTTTAGGACAGTACTGGGAAGGGGTGAGTAGCTCTGGGGTGGGGAGAGAGCACCGCGGCTCATGGGGAGAGTTTCAGGAAGAAGCCAAACTGCAGTCAGGGGTGAAGGCAAGCTCTGGAAAATCTTGTGCACATTCTAGAAACCCAAAGGGTTGAAGGTAGGTACAACTTGGTGATCAGCTTCTAGAATGAGTGAATTTGTCCTTTTCTACCTCATTTTCCCAATGCATGGTGCAATGGGAACGATGTTGGTTTCTCACTGCTTCCAAACAATACCAAGTATAAAAGAAAGAGTCGACCGACCAGCGAGGTGTTCTCCCGGTGGGGAGCTCTATAGTCACAGGGTGTTGTGACGATGCTTCAGCAAGTCTGAAGGAAGTGCAGCGGGTCCTGTCTACGTCACAGCCCCACCTCCATTTGTCCTACCGAAGAGTATGACCATCAGCAAAGCTTTTCCATTGTCCTGCTTTTGCTGATTTGCATCTCATGATATTTACTGTCCTTCTTACAGCAAGACTCCTGGTGACCGGGAAGGGCAGTATGGGAACACGACTGGAGTAATCAAGCTGGCCTACAGCGCAGAAATCTCCGGCGGATTTTATATTCCAAAGGAATCTTGAGGATAAAACCGAAGAAAGTATTTTTCTTTCTCTTAGGAAAGAGAGGGCAGATCTTTCCTTAATTTTTTAGTATTGATGCCTTAGGAACTATTTCATGTTAAAAAAATGCTACCCCATTTCAAAGAATTGAATATTTACAAATATCTAATATTTACCTTTTCAATTTTTAATAAAGTGTTTAACCACCTGATTGTAAATGGCCATCTATTGAAGTTCTACTTTTGATCCTACAATTGGGGGTGAAAATTCCCATGGACAAGTCTCTTCGGGACAAGGGTATATGTATTATTACAGAGATATGAAATCTTTCTCAATATTTGCCTCCTGCATTAATTCAACAAATTTTTATTACTAAAAACCTACTATGTACAAGGTATTTCCTTAATTTCCCAGTCACTTAAAGAAGCACAGGTCTTTGTCTCTAGCCTTGGAGAGAATTTTCATGCAATCCCTAAAACCACACCAAGGAAGACCAGGGAGAAGGCAGAGGCTGCTAGACAAAAGGACAAAGACCTCAAGAGTGAAGGGGGCATGTTGAATTTAGATCTGAAGGGAGTCAGTCCAAATCTGTCACTCTAGTTACGAAGAAATGGAAGCAGAGAGAAGCTAAAGGATTTATCTAGAATGCACTAAATAGAGTGAGGATGCACTAGCAGCAGAAGTTTTGGGGGGGTTTGCAATGGCCCTGGAAACTGTAGTTGGAGAAGAACACTGACATGCGCAAAAGAGGACTGGACATGGATTCATCAGCAAACAGCCCGGCCTCTGTCTCTTCACTCTCGGAGCCCAACGGGTCCCTTCGGCGCTTCCCCAGGCTGGACGTGGAGACCTCCCTCGCATAAGCCTTGGCACGTGTGGATGCCATGAGATCTGCTGTGGCTTTTGCTCATTTGGGGCACTTTGTCTCTAACTGACTGAAATTGATGATTCCTCCTTGTTTATATCTAACACTCTCGCCTTCATCAAATGGCTATCAGCAAACGCAGTTTTAATCAGGACATTCTCCAACTCACCAAACACACGCACACACAACTCTAAAGATTTATATTGTCAACAATAAATTTCAACTTTCTTTGCTAGCCATTCAAGAGCTCTGCAATTTAGTCTCAAATCCCATGTCTGCCTTATCAAATTGACATACCTATGTGACTTTTATTCTGTTCAGGACTAAAAAAGTGACCCCCTGCTGGTTCTATTAGGCTGCTTTCTATCTTTTCTTTTGTTCCAGACATTTTGCCTACCTGCATCACCTTTTCTCTTCTTACCAATTTCTGTCAACATTTTACCACTCTTGCAACCACAACGTGAGCACCAGCCTTCTTTACAGAACTTCTGTGAATCCCTGTCCCCTTCTGAGCCGTTACCTGTGGTGCGTGTGACTATGTTGCTTTAAAGCCACTGGCCACACTCTTTGGCGTATTGGAATTATTTAGGGGCTCATGCGGGAAACCTCCAAACTATGAATCAGGTCTAATCACAAAAACTTACATGCAGGATAGGATGTAGCTCCCCAAACAAAACTTTTTTGAAAGACTGATTGATTAAATGAATTAAAATACTTGCCACTCTATGTTCCCTTTCTCAGTTCTTTGTACACAGGTTAAATAAAACTTCCACTGAGATGTGATCATAGAGGGCTAATATAAGGCATATGGATGCAGTTCTTTTATTTGGATGTATAATTATTGAGAAGTAGATTTCAATAATATTATAATAAATCATAATTATTTTCTGGCCATTAGTCTACAAAATGAAAGATTTTATTTTTTGAATGTACATTATGATGGGGGGAAAAGCCTTTTGAATAATTTTAAACCTCTCTTTCTAAAACCTATATCAAGACATTAAAAGAACTTGTAACCCAAGTTAACAACCCCCCAATTTTCAGGGCCACTGTTTAAAAGTGGGTTTCAATAATTGCCTTGCTTCTTTCACTTGAAGCTAAATAACACGAGAAAACATACTAGAAGAAACCAAATGTTCAGTCACTGGAAATAACCTTTACCATAAAAAAATAACATAAAAGCTTAAGGGTAAATTTATTCCTCATCTCAGGAACTAGAAATCCAGTTTCAAATGTACACAGTAGTTTCAAGCTCTGCTGAGCCAGAGTTATCCCATTAATTATGGATGACATTATGTTTTAAACAAATACAAATTGTTTTGCCCTCACCTTTAGATGCTCCTGAAGCAAATGTTTTATTCCCAGCGAGAATCATTTTGCACAGCTCAGGTCCTTGAATTATTAGAAAAACTGCAGTAATATCATGCCGTCCAAAAATAAAAGTTGTCTTTTTGATATCTGATTTTCCGTTGCATGTGCTCCATGATTTGGTGGGAGGGAGTTGTGGATAGGAAGAATACAGTGCTCTCTCCAGTTCCTGAAGATCAGTCCACAGGCAGGACGGGAAGGGGGAACTCATCTGCAGGCCACGGTTTGCTGCTTTCTGACATCCCCCCTATTCTGGGCGAAGGTCACTGATAGGCGAACGCTCTTCCACTCAGCCCAGATGCAGTTTATGGGTTTGTGTTCCCGTGAGACACAAACAACTGCTCAAAGAGGCTCACCGTGGTTTCTCAGTGATCACTTATCAAAATTAGTAAGTCTTTCTTTTGGGTTACTATGGACTTAAAGGAGTTGGTCTGAGCTATTCCATTCTACTCTACCCCACTCTATTTTATTCTCCCCTGAAGGTTGAAAGTGTTTTGAAAACTCATGCAAACCTTCCCTCGCTGGGCGGGTGAGTGGTGTGCAGGTGGCAAGGCCCTGGGCTCCACCCTGTCCTGTCGCCCTGTGGTCACTTCTCCAGTGCACCCACTGCCCGGCGCCGCTCTGTAGGACCAGCCTGGAGGGGGGTGTGGTGGGCGGGAATGTGCAGGAATGTGCTGTTCCAGCCATTGTTCACACACGGAGTCCAAACATCCAAAGGGAAACTCACTCTGGGAGCGACTGCCTGTCCTGAGGTCAGGGGAAGTGGCTTCCAGTTTCACACCTGCAAATGTCCTTCACGTGGCTCACATATCGTACGTACCTGTTTCAACCACCTCCAGCCTCAGAACTTGGTTTAACGACAAGGAATACTGGACCTGGAGTCTAAACGCCCAGATTCAACTCCAGTGGTTTCTTATTTATCTTTTTGACAAACATCTGCTAAGAGCGTACTATGTTTTAGACACTTTTTTTGTGCATTATTCCATTTGACTTCACAATAGCTCTGAAGCAGCTTCACTTATTATCCACATTTACTATTATAGAAATTAAGGCAAAGAGATGTTAAGTATGCTAAGACACAGAAAAGGGAGAAGCTGTGATTTGAATCTGCTTCTAGCCAGCTTTGGAGATAACCGCGCTCAATCAGGATACTACCTTGCTCCCTGCCACCTGCGTGACTCCGGGAAAATTATACGACAGCTGACTCACGAGCTTCCCCTCCGAACCTCAGTTCCCTCATGAGAAAAATTGAGTGTGAGAATAACTCCCTCAGGACATGATAGTGTTTGTCAAAAGAGATGTGAAAGTTCTTTATAAGTATTACTGGTCTATAAGAAATAAAAAGGAGAACACAGTTTGGAAGTGGGGAATTGTTCAGATATAACCAAGCAAGGAGCACACTGGGTCTGTCCTCAGAACGTCCCCACTGCTGGTACATGAGTAGCAGCAAAAGCTTTAAAATACTTGAAATTGATATCATAATAGAAACATTCATATCATATACACGTAAATACTTAAACCAGAGGGAAAGAAGGAAAGAAAAAGAGCAAAAAAAAAAAAAAAAAAAAAAAAAAAGAAACCATCCCCAATTCCATAAAGTAATGGATTATAATCACAATGGTAATAGATGATGTTTCAAGACTTGAAGGAAAATTTTGTATCAGTTTCCTATTGATTTTGGTGATAAGAAGAAGCAATGAGAAGTCTAGGCTTCAGACATTCTTCTATTAAACAATGAAAGTTTATTAAATACTTATAACACAATAAAGGATAAAATGAATAAATTAGGCAATCTGGGCAAAGAGAAGAAAACAAGGCAATGAAATGCAGCGCCAGGCATGGGTGGTTCTGGTCACAGAGTTGGGTGCATTGGGCTCCATGCCTCCCAAGCAGCCAAGTCAAAGATGGACAGGTGATTCTTAGCTTGATAGGATCAAACACACAGCAAACAAGCAGCGAGACAGGAGGAGTACATTTTCTTCTAATACTTAAATACAAGTGGAATTGTCCCTGTGGGTCCTCAGAAATGGAGCAAGATTATGGGGACTTCCACATGAAATAACCTTAATAAATTTCAGGAGGGTGGTTTGTAAAATGTCCTTCAATGCAGTTCTGTGAAAAATCAAAGCAGTGTGGTCCACGTGTAGAGCCCTCTTATGGTCTGACTTGAATCTAGTAGAAAATTAAAGGTATAGTATTCTCATCACCAGGAAAGCAAGACATTTGGTGGGTAAGAAGTTAAGGGAGAGAGGGTGAACCCTGACTGCCAGACAGAGCCAGAATGCACAGTGCTCAGAGATGCTGACATAACCCAGGGCCTGACCCATGAGCTGCAAAGATGATCGACTACCTGCAGTGGTGCCACTTTGCAGGATTGCATCCCACAGGGCCAGCTGGGGCTGTGCAGGGGGTCAGCTATGAGCTGGTTTCAGGCACAAAAGAAAGCTGAGGTGCCACAAAGATGAAGCTTCTACAGCAGATGCTGCCACTATTTCCTACTATCTTCTATAATCCATGGACTAGTTGAGCTCTCTAAGCAATCACCTACTCATTCACCTATTCCATAGATTTTTATTAAAACTACTTTGTCCCAGGAACCACGGTATGCACATGCATCTGAGATCAGCCCTGACTTCATGGAGCTTATACAGAAATGTGACACAACGCATAGTCCTCTAAGGAAGTACAGGCTGTGATGGGAGCAGAGGACTGAGGAATGGTCTCACAGGGCAGTCATTCACTCTGAGAATCCAAGATGAGTGACAGTCATCCAAGCAAAGGCAGCAATGGTGGACTCACAAGGACCGCGCGCCAGGCAGGCAGGTGGAGGGAGGGTGCTACATGGGTGGAAACGCAAGCATCCTACTGTGCCTGCAAGGCGCAGGTGCCGAAAGAATAGTGAACAGCACAGAGACACTCAGGAATGCAAAAGAAGAGAGAAGAGAGTAAGAATGGGAACAGGAAACAAAACAATTGATGTTAATGTTGTTCCCTTTATAAAAACCAGTGGGAGTCATTTAAAATATTAAAGGGTAAAACTCTCAGACTATGTATCCAATGATGTAAAATCCAACCATATGTCACTAAATTCAAACATAAATATATAGAAACTGCATACCTGGGAAAAGGCAAAAAGAAAGGCAGGATGGGAGAAGGAGGAAAAAGGAAAAAAAGTGGGTATGAATAGGATGGGTCATGGTATACTTCATGAAAAGGGAAAAAAACCTGATTTGAAAAACTCAAATGTAACAGAAAACAATGCCATTGAATTCCCAAATTCGGGGAACATTTGCTTCTTTCCTCTAGTCCTGCCAGGCAAAATGGAGCTTAGGTTGTAGCCGACTCTAGCACCATTTGAAAATGATGTGCAATGCTTTGGTGTGGGTGCTGTGGCCGTCTGGCTGCCTGTAATGGTTGTCATTACAGCCGGCCACATTTCTGTGCAAGGCCCCTCGATTTCACTGAGAGCAGATACTACACAGCAGAGGCGGGCGAGGATGCTTTTAAGGAGCATAATGGAGTTAGAGGACCTCTGTAAGCTCATTCCAGCAGCAGGAATTTGGAATGTTTGGGGAATTGAACTGAGGGGCAGCACATGCCGGTTTGAGGGTACCTACCCCTCCCTAAGGGGCCTCTTGGGGATGCTCTGGTCACTGCAGACTTGGTTAATTAACTGGTACCTGATGAAACAGCCTTGAAATCACATGGACACAGGATGGAAAGTTTCTATCAGAAAGACAGCTGCTTGAATCGAGTTGAGATGATTCACGCTGGAAGAACAGAGGTGACCCTGTGTCAAGGAAAATGAAGTGACTCAGTAGCAAAGGGTGTGAAAGAAGACACGGCGTGGGTGGGATCGACTGTCACCCACATTGCAGCCGTGGTGCTCCAGCTGGACACGCGTGTGCACACAGCACCCAGGATGACTCCTGCCTTGTGATGTGGGAGCAGAGCTCAGCATGGCCAAGGTGCTGCGTTGGTTTTCCCTACGGGACGAGGCTATCTTGTGGGACAGATAGTGAACAACTAAGCCAAGCAGTTAAATTAAGGTGGGTCAATTTCTTTCCACTGAGTCCCAAAGAAGGAATGCAATACAGTAGTCAGAAGAGAAATTAGGCAAAGGGTCCAGATGCTGGCTTGGTATCTAAAGCCTGGCATTTCGCATCCCGTGGCTCTGGCCTCAGTTTCTGCCTGTGTCTGTAGGGGCATAATGGGTGGCCCTGTGGTCTAGCGTCAGCCTCCTGCTGACCGGTAGCTGCAGACACGGGGCAGGGGTTTACTCCAGTCCTTTTGTGAGTGAGGCAGGGATTTATGCTGATGCTAACACATCTTAGTCATACATTTTTAAGGATTTCTGGCCAGGACATTGGAGGAAGAAAATGCCGGGCTAGAGTACATTACAAAGGACACAGGAGGGGGACTGATAAAAGTGCCCCAGTCATG